CCCCTCAGTGTCAGCACTCAGTGAGTCTCCACACTCATCCAGCATCAAGATCCGTCCACTCACATACTTTGAGGATGTGACAGCAGCTGTGGAGGAGCTCAGAGACGAACTACAGRACGTCCTGAGAGACGCGTGGACAAACATCTCACTGACTGTCTCTGAGGTGGACGTCTTACTGTCAGAACCAGGACCAGGACCAGAACCAAAGAGCAGAGCTGGATTCTTAAAATATTCCTGTCAAATCACACTGGATCCAAACACAGTAAGCACAAAGGTGAAACTGTCAGAGGGAGGCAGAAAGGTAACAGCAATGAATCGACCTCAGTTTTATCTCAAACATCCAGACAGATTCATTGGATGGGAGCAGGTTCTGAGCAGAGAGAGTCTGACTGGTCGTTGTTACTGGGAGGTGGAGCTGAGAGGAAAACTTGTTTCTGTAGCAGTCGCCTACAAGAATATCAGCAGAGTGGGGGATGGATGTACATTTGGACTAAATAACAAATCCTGGGCATTAAGTTGTTACCAAAACGGTTTCACATTTTGGCACAACAACATCCATACCTCCATCTCAGGTCCTGAATCCTCCAGGATCGGGGTGTACCTGGACCACAGAGCAGGTGTTCTGTCCTTCTACAGCGTCGCTGAAACCATGACCCTCCTCCACAGAGTCCAGACCACCTTCACTCAGCCGCTCCAYGCTGGGATTAGGTGTGGTTCATGTTTGGGTCTTTCATTTGCTTCAAGTGCTGAATTCTGTAAACTCAAATAGATAAAATTCACAGGTGATAAAGACAAACTTCTGTTTCATTTTTTGTTTTTCTACATAAATTACCCAAACATTAAAAAAGATGTCAGACCTTCTCATTTCAGTTCTGTTCATGTTTTTTTATTTTCTAAATATCTTTTACTACAACAGCCGATAATAAAAAATAACTTTTTTCTTTTGCAGCAAAGATTGTAAAATCAATCATTTTAACAACAAATGAACATTAAGCTGAAATCATTGATTGAATCATGTTCTTGTTTGAAGACGTTTAGTTGAGTCTCGACTCATCAAACAGCAGAAACTGTTTCTTTCTGGACTTGTGGTGATTTCATGTTTTGATTTTGATCAGAATAAACTTCAGAATAAATCTGTCCTGTTGGTTCAGGGTTTAACTTTGTTGGTTGGAACGCTTCAATCCAGATTTGATTCTAACATTTTGTGACAAATGTTTTATTGTTTAATATTTGTCGTTATCTGGACTCTTTGCAGCTGAAAATTCTGCAGCTTTGTGCGTATTTTTTTTAATTCTGATTATTTGTGTTCATGATCTCCTCTACTGTAAAAATATTCTGAAGTTGAAATGAACTTTGACGGTTGTTAGATTTGAAGTTGTGTCCTGTGTTGTAAATAGTTTTGATCAGTTTTTGCTGCTGACCTCTTGGTCAGGTCAGTCTTAGTAAAGAGATCTTGATCAAGTTTTTCATCTGGTTAAATAAGTGAAATGAAGTGTTTGGTTGCTTTTAGATTTGCATAATATCAGTGATTAACTGGCACATCTGAAAATAAAATTCCTTTTTTTTAAAGGTTAAAGGGTTCCCTTGAAAATAAAATTCCTAAAGGTGTTTCTTAGTTCTGTACAAAAAAATAAATAAAAGCTCATCTTACAGGCTGAACTGTTTGATTCTTTTCAAGAAGACGTTCGGTTTCTGACTCATTTTGTTGTTTTAAAATCCAGTTATTGTAAATCAAACAGACGAGTCAAACATTTCAACAGAAATGGTTTATTTATAGCACAAGCAGCTTCTTGTGTCTCGTTACAGCGATGATCCACAAATCTGTGGTCTTTTTTTAGAACAGATGTTTGTTTTTCTACATTGACCAGAAAACACATTTTCACCAAGCTTCAAGATTTTAGACAGCTGAGGCTGAATGATGGTTATTTAGTGACTGATGGTGAAGAGGTGAGGCCAAACATGGAAGAAAGAGGCTCGAGTGCAGAGGAATCCAGTGTGTTCGTGTGTTTTTGTCAAATTAAAAAGAAAACGCAGCCCAATGTTTACTATTTGTTCATAACTTCTGATTTTTTTTCCTTAAACTTGATTTTTTTTTAAATTTTCTTGAATTAAACTTTACTGAATAACAAAAAAGCTCCTCATCTGTCACCCATCATTAATGTTTTTAGTTTTCTGAAAATAAAAAATCTTTCAAATCTTATTGTGAAGGAACTCAGTGAAATTAAAATCAAAATAAAAGTCATGGAGTTATAAAGACCTGAACTATTCGACCAAACTTTCATATATTACAGTTTATCAGACAAACGTTAACACTTTTAAAGAAAATTCAAAATATTCTACTTTTTTCAGTCTCCAAAGCAGAGCTGTGGAACAACACAGGAAATGTTCTGGTGTCAAACAAACAGSTTCTACAGATCTGAAGCTGGATTTACAATCAGTGCTCGTTGCTTCACACAAACTGCAGCCGAGCGTGATCACAACACGAAACATTGAATCTGAACAAACTCTGCTCCGATAAAAGCCTTTCTAACACACAAACACAGAGTTACAGAATCTCCCGTTTCCTCAAACGCATCTTTGGCCGAGTGTTTCCGAGGCAGCGGTGGGGAAAAAGAAACACTCCTCAGAGATCGGACTCGTTTGGAAGAACCAGAACAGACGTGACGAGAATCCTCAACGACACGAGCAAAAGTTTTTACAATCATCGAGTACAACAACAGCAGGAGCGGTTTCCCTTTAAAACAAATCTAAACGAAGCCTCCTCATCCTCACAGCTGCATCACTAATAYCTAAATGTGCTTTAAGGTTCACTTAAATGTGAGGTGAAGCTTGAAACTGGTGAAAGTTTGAGACTGAAATAAAGGGTCAGCTGTTCTATAAAAACAATTAAAATAAAAAGTGCATCAAACATCAGGATGAAACAATAATGAGAGAACTGATCCGGGACAGATCAGTGTTTCGTTTTAGAACCAGTTACTGCAGATTAACTTCTGAAATGTACAAAACAGCAAAAACAAAATATTGAGACTTTGTGCAAAGACAAATCTGCTGTTAGTGGCACGGGAGATTTGAACCTGCAGCACAGTCTTCAGCTAAACATCAGCTCTCAGCATGGAGAGCTTCGTCTCTGTGCTTCGTTTTAACGATGGAGTTAAATATTTCATCTTTTGGACAGCGATGAGTCACTTCCACCTTAGAGGAATATTAGACGGCGGTGACTCGGAGGGTGCTACAGACTGAAACGTGAAAAACTAAACCCCTCCTCCGTCTGTTTCTGTTTGACTGGACCTGATGTGAGAGGAGGTCACTTCTCCTGCAGCAGAGCCGGGATGTTGATGTTCCAGCCGATGGCCTGCCGGTCGAAGCCACAGGTGAACAGGTTGCAGGTGGTGTTGTCCTCACACCAGGCGGAGCAGCAAACCATGCGACGATGACCCTGAGCGACAAAACACATCAGAAAATAAGAAGCTCAAGTCCAAAACAGTGATTTTCATGATTCGTTTCCCATCCAAGTCATCTCAACTTTGCCATGCTTCTCCTCCTGCATACTTTGTCCTAGAGCTGCCATTGTAATTTCTATCTGTCAAGGTCCTGTGCCAAATATTGCTATGCCTTTTGGTGCTTGTACATCTTGTAGTTTTTGAAATGTTAATGTTTAAACTTTATTCCAAATTCATAAAATGAGAGTCAATGGGGCCTTGTAATGGTCCAATACTGCCC